ATCTATGCTTTGATTTGGATTTCTGTACTGAGCAGAGTTGGGCTTAGCAACCTAAATGGCCCCCTCCACTTCTTTGATTCTGATTTGTTCAGGGGAGCCATTGCTGCAATTCAGGAAATCATGAATGAAACTGTCCAGATTTCATGGTTCTTTCCATCTGCAGATGCTAAGGGAAGAACTGAGTAGAGAGTTCCCTGATCCCAAGGAACTTTTTTTTTCAGTGTACTGGTTTACCACAACATGTGTGACCTGATCTCACAGGAAGGTCACCTCATCTCTCTCAAAAAATTATTTACTGAATCTCTAGGACTATCAAACTATCATTCCATGGTGTTCTGCAGAATATAAACAATTAATGTATGAAGGGAAATATTGGGAGACCAGATTTATTTTAAGAAAAACTTTACCTTTTTTCAAAATAAATGAGAACTACTTTCCCCAGTGTGACCTCCTTCAGATGTATTGGGACTAATACTCTTAAATTTCCCACCATGGAAGATGCTAGATTGACAAGGCTGCATTAATTAACTTCTCAATTAGTAAGCTGAAAATGTTCGTGTTAGCTGTTTCAGTTGATTAATTAGCATGATTTTTTTATTGTCCTTATTCATCAAAGTTGTTTTTTATTCTAGGTGCAGAAACTGCAGGAGGCATAATTGTTCCATCATCTTCCAAAGACAGGAAGAGTTTCCTTTAAATCACGTGTCTCCTCATAGAACAGAACAGATAGGATTGCCAACTTATGATCAAGCAATGGAATTAAGAGAACATTATGATTCTCCACCCCCACCATATCCTGGAAGTTCAGGAAGGTTCAAAGTGTTCAAGAAGTCTCTCTCACTTCCAGGTCCTTAATGAGCAAACATGACCTGTGAAAATTAGTCTTAATAAAAGATGTACAGCTGAAATGCTACAGTACTGTGCTCTAAGAGTGTCAAAAGAATCTTCTTCAGCATGCCTATGAGGGACTAAAGAGTGTCAGGTGAACAAGGAACCCATCTTTCTCCAGTGTTCTGATAGCTAAGGATGAAAGACTCCTTTTATTATGTTTCCATTTATGTGTAAAAAAACTGTATTGAATTTGGCTCCTATGCATTTTGAGCCACTGAGTAAATTGATGTGCTACTTCGGTTTCTCATAACTTAAAAGTTCATTTCCAATTCTAAAAATTGCACTAGTTTTCTAACTATTTTAGAGTAAGAAGTAGTCAGTACTTTTGTTTTGAATAATTTTCTCCCATGATAAAAAAGTGTGCATGCCTTTCAGTCAGTTTTGACTCCTGGCAACTGCCTGGACTAGTCCCTGCAGTTTTCTTGGCAATGTTTTTTGGAAGTGGTTTGCCCTTCCTTCCTAGGGCTAAGAGAAAGTGACTGGTCCCACGTCACCCACCTAGCTTTGTGCCTAAGGCAGGACTAGAACTCAGTCTCCTGGTTTCTAACCTGATGCCTTAACCACTGCACCAAACTGGCTCTCCTGTGATAAAAATACTAACACATTAAAATTTCACATTATCTCTAACTGAATATTTAATCAATATATATTTACCTATGTTATCTGTGTTTCTTATACCAGAAAGAATATATCCACATGGGTGTTATATTATCAATAAAAAGTAGAATAAGATTTTTATAAATAAAATAATTTTGTACCTAGTTCCACTTTCTTTGTTAATTCCAATGAATAATGAATCTGAAGAAAAATGTCTATCTGAAAAACTGCCTTGCTTTATGAAGCCAAAGATCTGTTTAGAAGATTAAACAGACTTTCATGGGAAGCTCACAAGGAAGGCATGATGTAAGGGCTCCTCTTTCATTGCTTATCTGGAGGGCAAATGGCTGCAAAGTAGGTGGGGTCACAGCAAACAGAAGTGCAGCTGGATTTTAGGAAGGGGAAGGCTTTTTAAAAATAAAGATAGGCTTATTGTAAGGCCTTCAAGTCAGAAACCACATAATTTTTTTTCCATGGCAATCTGTCCCTAACCTGGTTCTTCAGATTTTCCCATATAAGCCTTGCAGTACCATTTTTGTCTCCCATCTGAGAAGGAAAGGAAACTGCCTTCAATTTTCAACCCACATAGTCCAAATGAAGTCTAAGGGCCTTGTGGTGTCTTGGGACTGCCATTTACAAATCTTTGCTCTGTAAGAAAATGTTACACGCTGAAGTTTTGAGCCACAAAAGTATGCACAAAGTTTTCAACTTTCCTTCTCAAAAATAATTCAACAAATGATGTTTGGGAATTAAACCAATTTGTCTGCCATATTCACTAATACAAGCTTGCTAGAATTGCCATAGGAGCTATCTCTGCAGACTATTGCAGTACAACTCGAATCTTTTGTCTGCTTTCCACCACTGTCAAGATAACCGCAAGATTAAAGAATCTGTTTCCTCTGCACAATTCACAGTGGCAATATTATATCTCAAAGTCTGTGTCCTCTTTTTCAATGTATAAAACTTTTCAAAAGTTACACTTTCATATTTGAAAGTAGGTCCTTATATGCCAGAATAAGTACTACAAACTTCCCTCAGCTGTTAATTTCAAATTGCATTGTACTGTGATTCCTATCATCCCCAGCTGCTCTAGGCACGTTGGAGAGAGCACAAAAGTTGGGAAAGTCTGTACTAAAAAGATGTATCCTATTTGTTAATGCACCATTATTGCATCTGTGGATTTTTGGCAACTTGTAATACCCATTTTTACATCAGTTTGTTATAGCCTCCTATAATTCCCAAACATCTGTAAATGCAAAGAACATTTGTGTAGCAATGTCAGAAGTCAAGCACAGAAACAGGCAGTGATTCATTCAGTAGGCTGGGGGAGATTCTCCTAAGCTATGAAACACTGGAAGCATTTAAAGAACAATTTACGAAGTTCCACTGTTCAGTCATTTTACTTCTTCACATGCATTCTGAAATAGTACAATAAAGAGAATTTTCCACACACCCCTTTCATTTGACCCTTCAGACAACTTTGCTTATTACCTGCCTACGACCCTGGATCCTCCATCATGTACAGGTACACTTAATAAAAACGCTAAGCATTCAAATGTTTCTAGTTGTGTGATACATATGTGCCTACAAGCAGTTGAAGGCATTCAGCATTAAAATTAAATTTAAAGCACACACGAATAGGAAACGGCAGAGGGAAAATCTGTCGTTTTAAGCGGACAAGCCTACGTGGTCACAAGGCCACTTCATGTATTATTTTGTTAGTCGACTTAACAAGGACATTTCACTTGCACACCATACGCAAAGGCATAAGATTACACAGCCGCCTACAAGTTCCAGCAAAGCTTTTCATCTATAGGCGTCGCGGAGATGGAAACCGCGGAAACTGAGAGGACCGCC